GCAGGGTTGGCAAAAATAAAATATTGGTTTTTAAATTTAGTATCTAGGGATTAACTTGACCAGGAGCACACATGATCTCTAGGCAGAAAAAGAAAATTCTAATAAAAAACGCTGGTGGTCTGAATAAATGGAAAGACATTTAAAGCCCTTGGAAGACATGACTTAATATTACAAAGGTGTCAACATCCTCCAAATAATCTGTATGATTTAATGCAATCCCAAAGAAAAATTTTATTTTGGGAGAAACTTCTTAAACTTATTCTAGAATTTATACAGAAGGATAAAGACTCATAAATACCCAAGTCAAACCTCAAAAAGGAGATTGAATAGAGGAGACTTAAATAAGTGGATATTAAGAGTTGCCTCAAAGTTATTATTAAAAACAGAGAGGTATTGGGACAAAAACAGCTACACAAAAAACCTGAATAAAGGGCTCAGAGACAGAACTAAAATATGCAAACCTAAAATGCAAGAACACCGGCACTACAAATCAATCAAGGGAAGAATAGGTAGCTTAGTAGATATTAACAGGAAAACTAACACTTCCCGTGGATAAAAATAAGAATGGATCTTCATGGAACATCTCATACCATGGTGGAAATCAGCTGGATTCAAAACTTAAATGTGAAAGACACACTCATAAAGCCAATAAAAGAAAACATAGGTACACATCTTTGTGACATGGGTCATAAAGGCCTTCTCCAAAATACAACTTGAAAATCATAAACCGGAAGGCAAAAAAGAGATGATTTGAATATATAAAAAGGCTTTAAAGACTTTATAGTCAAAGAAGGATACCACGAATTAACAGACAGATGATAAGATGAGAATATATTTAAACTGGCTAAATCCAACAAGGGATTAGTATCTAGAATCAGTAGGAACTTTTTACATATCAAAAAGAAAAGATGGTAACTGAAATAGAAAAATGGGCAAAGGACATGAATAGGCAATTAACAGAAGAGAAAACCCAGTAAACTAACAGGCATATGAATAGGTGCTCAAATTCATTAATTACCAGAGAAATGCAAATTAAAACAACAATGAGCTATCATTTTACACCTATCAGACTGGCAAAAAATTAGAGAGCTGAATACTGGTGAGAGTTGGCAGGAATGGAGAAATTTGCACATTGGGTTGCTGGGAATGCAGATCAACCACTCTGGAGAACAATACAGGAGAGTGCTTAAATGAAGTCTATGCATAGCCTTTGGCCAGCAATGCTTTGGGTGGGTGTATCCCAGAGGAATTCTCACACAGGAAGACATGTACAAAGATGTACACTGTGGTGGTGTGAGTGGTGATGAGGAGTTGAAGGCATGAGGAGATGGAGTACATCTCTACAAAAACAGATACAAAGTGCTGTGTACCACAAATTATGCAGTAATCAGAAGCCACAGCATAAAAGGACACAGAGGAATACGAAAGGCTCCTAACACAATGATGAGGGCACAAAATAAGAAATAAAACAAGACACAGAACATTTATTAACTCACACCATTTATTAAGAACACAGGAAGATAAAAGACACACATTTTAGAAAAAAGAACTAAAAGGGAATGAATAAATAAAACGAAACAAAAGGAAAGAATGAATGAATCAAGAAACCTGTGCTGATACTGTGCCATGAACAGGGGAGTGTGATGAATTCAACTCTCTAAACCTGAGATCCAAACAGAGAATAGAAAAGAGGAGAAGAAAAGGCTCTGCAAAGAAACGTACATATATTTATCAGCTGCCATCCTATCCCTGGCAACTGGGTCATTTGGAAAATACCAGCAGCTGACAGACATTACTTGTGGCCCTGTCTTATACTCCACAGGCACCGTATGCCCTGAGAGAAACTTCAAGATGAAAGCAACGAATTCAGAAATTCCCTTTTGCTATCTGCTCCTTCAAAACACGCTGGCTCTGTGATAAAATATTTGCATTGAAATTCCCACCAAAACATTTCCTAGAAAGGAAAATGCTGGACATTTGGAATTTGGACTCTAGACATTTGGAATCTGGTTAAGAAGAGCAATGCCTCACTCTTAAATTCATATCAGATTGGCTTTATATCTTTAAAAGAGTTTAGATTGTGACACAAACAGAAGGAGTGTGGCAGAACAATCAAGACCCAGAGCATTAGCGCCACCTGTGGTAGATGAGCCCTATGGGTTTGGATTACATTGCAAATTACTGCAATCAAGAGATACAGTACAACAACCCCAGCAAGGAGGGGAAGCTAAGAACCTGCACCATGTGGGAAAGGGTCCAAAAAAGGGTGAGGAAGCACTAAACCAGACCATTACACTGGTTTGCCAGCTTGGAAATCAATCAATACCCTAAAAAAAAAAATTCCTATTTAAATGACTCCTGAAAAAGTGGCGCATATATATATATATATATATTTTTTTTTTTT